ATGTTGAGTCTTCCTATCCATGAGCAAGGTATGTTTTTCCACTTATGCAAGTCTCTTTTGGTTTCTTGCAGTAGTGTCTTGTAGTTTTCATTGTATAGATCTTTTACGTCTCTGGTTAGATTTATTCCTAAGTATTTTATCTTCTTGGGTACTATTGTAAATGGTATTGATTAGGTGATTTCTTCTCTGAGGTTCTCTTTGTTGGTGAACTTACTCAAATTTAATACTACTGCATTTCTGCAGTGGTTTATCTCTGAATAGATTGTTCTGTTTAGTTTATGATTATAAATGCAACATCCTCTTTAGATATGATGGTATTACAACTATAATATGTAAGAATTGTAAGAATTGATTTCAATACCTTAGAAAATTATTCTGCATGGCCCAATTTCTGGTAGTAGTTGTACTTGGGGAGGCTGGTAAAACGTTTTTAACATTAGACTTCTGCATGTACTTCTGTCATCTGAAGTTTACCATGTGTTTTGTTACCATGTATTTGTTGACTCTTCTGAATACAGTTACATAAAATTTTATTTTAAGATCATTATGTTTTTAATTTGTGTATTTCCTAGGAATTTAAAAATCTGTTTCTGCTTTGGGCTGCCGTTCTGTAAGTGTTGACTTTTCTTTAGAATAGTGTTGTGTTTATAGAGCATGTTGTTGTTGTTAGGTGCTGTTGAGTTGGTTCTGACTCATAGTGACCCTATGTACAACAGAACCAGACACTGCCTGGTCCTGTGCCACCTTCACAATCGTTGCTATGCTTGAGCCCATTGTTGCAGTCACTATGTCAATCCACCTTGTTGAGGATCTTCCTCTTTTTCACTGACCCTCTACTTTACCAAGCATAATGTCCTTCTCCAGGGACTGGTCCCTCCTGCTAATATGTCCAAAATATGTAAGAGGAAGTCTCACCATCCTTTGGTATAAGGAGCATTCTGGCTGTATTTCTTCCAAGACAGATTTGTTTGTTCTTCTGGCAGTTAATGGTATATTCAGTGTTCTTCACTAACATTGTGATTCAAAGGCATCAATTCTTCTTTGGCCTTCCTTATTCATTGTCCAGATTTCTCATGCATATGACGCAATTGAAAATACGCTTGGGTCAGGTGCATCTTAGTCCTGTAATATCTTTGCTTTTCAACACTTTAAAGAGGTACTTTGCAGCAGATTTGCCCAGTGCAATATGTTGTTTGATTTCTTGACTGCTGCTTCCATGGGTGTTGGTTGTGGATCCAACTAAAATAAAATCCCTCACAATTTCAGTCTTTTCTCCATTTATCATGATGTTGCTTATTGGTCCAGCTGTGAGAATTTTTGTTGTCTTTGTGTTGAGGTGTAACATACTGAAGGCTGTAGTCTTTGATCTTCATCAATAAATGCTTCAAGTCCTCTTCGCTTTCCCTAAGCAAGGTTGTGTCATCTGCATAACACTGGTTGTTAGTGAGTCTTCCTCTAATCCTGATGCCATGTTCTCTTCATATAGTCCAGCTTCTCAGATTATTTCCTCAGCATACAGATTGAGTAAGTATGGTGAAAGGATACAATTAACGTACACCTGTCCTGATTTTAAACCACACAGTATACCCTTGTTCTGTTCCAACAACTGCCTCTTGATGTATGTACAGGTACCTCATGACCACAGTTAATTAGTCTGGAATTCCCATTCTTCACGATGTTATCCATAATTTATTATGATCACACAGTCGAATGCTTTTGCATAGTCAGTATAACACAGGTAAACATCTTTCTGGTATTCTCTGCTTTCAGCCAAGATCCATCTGACATCAGCAATGCTATCCTTTGTTGCACATCCTCTTCTGAGTCTGACTTGAGTTTCTGGCAGTTCCCTGTCAGTCTACTGCTGCAACCGTTTTTGCATGATCTTCAGCAAAATTTTACTTGCGTGTGATATTAATGATATTTTTCTATAATTTTCACATTTTGTTAGATCACCTTTCTTTGGAATGGGCACAAATATAGATCTCTTCCAGTCAGTTGGCCAGGTGGCTGTCTTCCAAATTTCTTGGCATAGACTAGTGAGCACCTGCAGCACTGCATCTATTTGTTGAAACATCGCAATTGGTATTCTGTCAATTCCTGGAGCCTTGTTTTTCGCCATTCCCTTCAGGGCGTTGTGGACTTCTTCCTTCAGTACCATTGGTTCTTGATCATATGCTACCTCCTGAAATGGCTGAATGTCAACCAATTCTTTTTGGTACAGTGACTCTGTGTATTCCTTCTGTCTTGTTTTGATGCTTTCTGCATTGCTCAATATTTTGCCCATAAACCAAAAGCCAAACCCATTGCCGTTGAGTCAGTTCTGATTCATAGCGACCCTATAGGACAGAGTCACACTGCCGTGTAGGGTTTCCAAGGAGTAGCTGGTGGATTTGAACTGCTGATCTTTTTTGGTTAGCAGCCAAGCTCTTAACCACTGTGCCACCAGGGCCCATAGAATCCTTCAAAATTGCAACTCGAGGCTTGAATTTTTTCTTCAGTTCTTTCAGCTTGAGAAATACAAGTGTGTTCTTCCTTTTTGGTTTTCTAACTCCAGGTCTTTGCACATTTCATCATAATACTTTTCTCTGTGGTTTTGAGCCACCCTTTGAAATCTTCTGTTCACCTCTTTTACTTCATCATTTCTTCCTTTTGCTTTAGCTACTCTGTGTTCAAAATCGAGTTTCAGAGTCTCTTTCGACATCTGTTTTGGTCTTTTCTTTCTTTCCTGTCTTTTTAATGACCTCTTGTCTTTTTCAGGTATAATGTCCTTGATGTCATCCTACAACTTGTCTGGTCTTGGGTCATTAGTGTTCAATGTGTCAGATCTGTTCTTGAGACAGTCTCTAAATTCAGGTGGGATATACTCAAGGCCATTTTTTGGATCTCATGGACTTGTTTTAATTTTCGTGAGCTTCAACTTGAACTTGAATATTATCAATTGATGGTCTGCTCCACTGTCATCCCTGGCCTTGTTCTGACTGATGCTATTGGGCTTCTCCATTGTCTCTTTTCACAGATGTAATCGATTTGATTCCTGTGTATTCTGTCCAGTGAGGTCCACACATATAATCACCATTTATGTTGTTGAAAAAATGTAATTTGCAATGGATAAGTTATTGGTCTTGCAAAATTTTGTCATGCGATTTCCGGCATCATTTCTGTCACCCCGGCCATATTTTCCAACTACCGATCCTTTTTTTTATAAAGCTTATATTCTCTCCAGTTGTGACTGAATTCTTATTCTGCCACTTATTAGCAAGTGCAATATTTCACAGATCACTTAACCCCTTTGAGTTTCAGTTTCTTCTGTAAAATGAGGCTATTGAGAATGCCAGGAACTTAAAAACGAAACAAGAACCAAACACCTCTTTCAGTCTTTGCAAATTGGCTTTGCTGGGGTACTCCTTTAACACTTAACCAGGACTTTTACAATCTTGCCTCAGCCTTTACTTCCTGCTTGCACTGAGCTTATTGATCTGCCAGTGATAAAAGCTTAGGGTCTTCTCAGGTCTTTTTGGATTAAGTATCCTGTCCTTGGCATACATGTGGCTTTCTAAATTCCCCAGTATACATGGGAGTGCTTTTTTTTTTTTAATTGTGGTGAAAATATACACACCAAACCTTCACCAATATGAGTCTTTTGAATGCCTTAATTTCCCAAAGAAATTCTTTACCTGGCATTTCCTTCATAGCTTTAGATGTTCGATTGTATGTCTCAATCTTTTACCTAAGGAGTTTGTGGGTTTCTCTATCACCTTATGATGTTTTCAAGCAGTTCCTGCCACTTTTCGGCCCTGAGTGGGCTCCGAGATGGATGAAACAGGTGAGAAACTTGTATCAGTCCTTCAGGTATCCCACAGACAGGTCATAACAGAAAATAATTTGCAAATAAGGTCGAGTCTGTCTCCTCCATAACCAGAGACCAGAGTCCCACAATGGGAATGTGGGCTGCTGTCTTCAAGATTGGCTGAGTTGAGGAGGGTGTAGAGCAAGGGCAAGTAAAAACACCACAGACTTTCCCATCATTTTATGTTGCATTTTTATTGGTTAGTGTTTGCTTGGTTGCTGTCAACCTTTGACTCTTTTCCAGAGTTCTGACAAAGTTGGTTCTGACAGATATTGGTTGTTTTTTCAGTGTTTCTGTGGAGGGATGGGAGTTTGGAACTGCTTGCTCCACCATTTTGCTCTCCTCTCCTCTTTTAAACTTCACTGAGATGTAACCTTGTTCAGTAAAGTCACAATTTTCAAGCCAAGATTTGAATTTTAATAAACAAACACTTGGTAGCATAACATAGGAAACTGAAAAATGAATCCAAGTACTTGCAGTATTTTTAAAACAGAGAAAAATATTTAATGTGCTACTGAAAATTATTTGCTAGAATTAATTCTTTGAAAATGCAGAAAATATTTTTAATATCCTTATTAATCACATTTTAAATAGCATTTAAGTTTATAATTATATAATTTCAATATTTTGTTATATTTGGTGTTTTTAATAATAGGTTTCAGAAGATGAATTTTCTAAATTGCAGCTGAAGGAAAGTATGATTCCTATTACTAGGTCACTTCAAAAGTAAGTATTCCTTTCCAATTTCTCTATGTATTATGAATACAAATCCATTTTAGCCATTCATTTGATTGAATTTTGAAAGTTACATGGTGGAATTGTGAAGTAGTTCCAAGAATAGGTATAATAGGTATATTTAAGCTCATTTTGGAGTGTGTTGAAGTTTTCTCTTAAATCTGTACTGTTTCCTATTAAAATATTTTTAGGACCTGAATAGATACCCTTAGACAGCTAAAATATAATGAATTTGAATGACCCAGAGAGATTCTCTTTTCATTTCTGAATAATAGCAACAATTTGAGATAGTCTGTGTTGGTGTGGATATCCCATTCATGAAATGTGTTGTCATGTATTTCCTCTCAAATAAATTTAACAGTGCTAATTGTGTCATTATTTGGCATACCTCCACAAGGTCTAAATGTCATAAGGGTGTTAATCTACCTATTTTATTTTTTGAGTTATATTGCTTTAAATAAAAATCGAGGAAGAGTCTTTCCTATAGTCATGATATTGGCAGAAGAGAAGGCTCTTAACTTATGGGTTTGATTATGTGAATATGAAGTGCTCTCAGAAGATGGACTAATTGAATTTAGGAAATACTAAGATTAAACATTTTTACTGTAGCACCACTATTTCACTTGGCTAGAAGTAGCGCAAAACAAGCACTGACAACCTTTTATCATTTCAGAATTTGCATAGGATTCTGTTATCTAAGGAAGCAGTGAATAAGTCAAACATCAGATATGTAAATTTAAAACTTTCTCTAATTGTCATGATAAGTACATCTTTTTTGTTTACATAGTTTAAAACATAAATCTAAGTATGATTTCTTTTTTCTCCCTCTACTTAATTTATAATCTTCTTCAGGATAGAAATAATGTCTCTTTCTTTGTAACTTGCCATAGTACTTGGATATAGTGTTCCATACCTAGTAGGATTTAGTAAATAATGATAATAATAAGTGACATTTAATGAGCATTTACCAAATGCCAGTTTTTTGAATGCTTTTGAGTATAATTCATTTGATCTTCAAAATCCTATGTGGTAAGTATTGTTATTAACTTCATTATACAGATGAGGGAACTGGCGTGGAGAATACAGTAACTTGCCCAAGGTTACATTGCTAGCAAGAGGTAGCACTGGGATTCAGACCAGACTGCCTGATTCTAAAGCCTGTGTTGCTTATCATTGTATTCCTAACACTCCTCATTAATGATAGTGGTGAGTTATCCATTTCAACTAGGTACAGGGCCTCAATTGATCACCTAGGATAAAGACTTCATTTTGCTTTTAAGATTTAAATTAGATGACCTCTACTTTTTCATTGCTCTTAAAAGCATTTATATTGAACTGTGTCACAGACCTAAATGCATTTTCTGAATTAAATATACCCTGGAAGATGTTTTTCTTGGTGAAAATGAACATTGGACCTTAAGTAATTAAATCATCACAAAAATTGATTGTGATCCATAGGTTCTCTAACCATTTACTAGAATTTATTTGCTAGAATTTTGCTAACCAATCAATAGTCTTGCCTACATATAGAATTCTGTTTTCAGGGAGAGAGCAAGATTCATGTTTCGTTAGATTGACTTTTAGCTGTTAATTCTGTTGAATTAGCTGAAACAGTCTTAATTTAGTTTTTACTTTATATTTCACAACTATCATTAGTGCTGTACATTTAGACTTAGAAAAGCATACTGGTACATTTTTTCCCATTATTTTTAGTTTGTAGATTAACTGTCTTAAGGACAGCTTAAAATTTATTCAGTCTTAGAATTCTTCTTTCTAGACTGCAAAATGTTCTAGACAGGCACATGGGCATCCTTTCATATTTTAAAATAGATAGGCTCAGCTTCTTCCAAAGCTACAGTTCTACTTTGGGTGCTTTAATGACCTTCCCTCAGGTGAAAGTCCTATAATCATATTTCTCCTCTATTCCTCAAATAGCAGGTTTTGTTTTTAACAGTTTGGATGGCTAGTAAGTTTTAAGATATTGGTCATTAGCCTTAGGAAACTCCAAGCTCTTAGTTTGCATTCTGTTTACTCCCTTGGACACTCAGTTTTCTTCTGCTCTCCCTTTAGAAATATCTCTTCTCTAGAAAGACTCATTGAAGCTGAAATCTAAATGGCTGATACCAGCTTAAAATGTTATTTCTTCCAGAGGAATTTTTATTTTGATAGGAATCAGAATGGTACTTGTTTTGTATCCTGTAATACTTAGCTCTGTCTTATGAATTTATATATTAGAAACTCAATAAAAACTTGTTAACCTCTGTAAGAGAAATTTGCCACCTTTAAGCAGATGAAATTGTAGTTTTTAAGCCAAGGTCTTTCCTAGAGCCTTTATTTACTTATTATTATTTTTTTGGTGGCAATATACACAAGCAAACCTACACCCATTCACAATTCTACATGTACAGTATTCTTAGAGTCTTTTATTATGTCATGTAGGCAACCAGCTACTCTGCCTAGGTGGGCTGTAAAGAATGAGCAGTAGTATATTGCTCAGATACTATAAAAGTGAGCAATAGTAAACTCACGTAAAATCACCAATTATCCAACAATAATTTGTTTTTGGCTTTGGAATATCTTTGTTTATGTATACTTTGAACATGAATGTGTAAAATTGTATAATTCTCAATACACACAAAAAAATTCAAAGCCCATGCTGTGAAGACCAAATTTAATGATAGCTAGAAAGTTATCCAGTTTCCCAGTCTCTCTGTTCAATTTTCTGTCTTTATTCCATACTAGAGATAGAATTCTCTCTCAGACTTGCAAAATATGATAGAAGCAAAGGTTTTTCTTATTCTAACGTACTCATACTTTATATAGATTTAGAGAGTGGTGGGGAGTTTGTTCTGAAAAGCCTTTTTATTCTGTTCTAGATTCTAGGCTGAATATAGGCCAGTAAACAGATAATGTATAAGAGGAACAGTCAGTACTAATTAGGAAACCACAGGCAAGCTATTTACGAGTAAATTAAAACATAGCTAATCTGTCTTCATTTAATCAATCTGTGTTACTGAGTTTCTGTGGGTTGATTTGTATCTGTTCTCAATGCTCATCAGTAGATTCATGGTCATAATAATAAATCAGTTTCTTTTACTTCAGTTGTTAAAATGTTGAAACATCACCCTTAAATTGATGTCCCTCCCCATTAGCCTACCTTTTCACTTTTTAGAGAAGAAAATAAAGAATAATAATTTCTTTCCACAATTTTATCCTCTATTTCTCTCTATAAACCAAACCAAACCAAAACAAAACATAGGGTTTCCAAGTAGTGGCTGGTGGATTCGAACTGCCGACATTTTGGTTAGCAGCTGTCTTAGTCATCTAGTGCTGCTATAACAGAAATACCATAAGTGGATGGCTTTAACAAACAGAAATTTATTCTCTCACAGTCTAGGAGGCTAGAAGTCGGAATTCAGGGTGCCAGCTCCAGGGGATGGCTTTCTCTCTCTGTTGGCTCTGGGGGAAGGTCCTTGTCATCAATCTTCCCCGGTCAAGGAGCTTCTCAGCACAGGAACCCCAAGTCCGAAGGATAAGCTATTGTCCTGGCTCTTGTTTCCTGGTGGTATGAAGTCTCCTTGTCTCTCTGCTCACTTATCTCTTTTATATCTCAAAAGAGATTGACTTAAGACACAACCTAATCTTGAAGATTGAGTCCTGCCTCATTAGCATAACTGTCTCTAATCCTGCCTCATCAACACCATAGAGGTAGGATTTACAACACATAGGAAAATCACATCAGATGACAAAATGGTGGACAGTCACACAATACTAAAAATCTTGGCATAGCCAAGTTGACACATATTTTTGGGGGACACAATTCAATCCATGACAGCAGCCAAATGCTTAAACACTGGGCCACCAGGGCCCCCTTCTCTCTATACATACCTTTGAAATCAGGGCTTTGAGCTGGTTAGTTCCAGTTCAGATCTCTGCTGAGTTTAGCAAGTTCCCAGGCCATGCTAATGCTGCTGGTTAGAGACCAACTCTGAGAACCATTAGTATAGCAGTGGGTCTCAAAATTTATTATACATAAGAATCACCTGGGGATTTGTTACAATGTAGATTCTGATTCAGTATATCTGGGGTGGAAATGCAAATTCTCAGCAGGGGTTCAGATTGGAACAAATCAGTTCGAAGCCCTGTTTGAAATAACGCTCAGTTTCTGATAGCCACTTCTGTAAGTGGATTATGTTTTATTCTAAGACAGGTAGTTGGAGGTTGACTTTAAAGAATTTCCAGCTGATTGTCTAGCTGAGGTAGAGGAACTGAAAATTTTACATTTCTACTTAGCTTCTCTATTCCTTCTCACCATGCCATACACCCACCTTTTCTTGCCTCATCTCCCCTTTTCTCTTCTCTCCTCATCCACTTCTCCATCTGTATTCTCTATCCCTAGACTAGCAATTGTTTTTAAAGGTATAAAATAAACTACATAGAATTAGAAAGAATACTAATTATATTGAATTGCAATTATGAAAATATTAAAACAACTTTGCGATGTGGTAATATATGCTTTTGTAATGCATTTAAAATAAGACAATACATTTAAGATACAAGTAAGTTAAAGTTCATTTTGTAAAAACATGTAAGTATGGAGGTCTTTTAAATAGCTTGAATAAAATCATTAAACCACGGAGTGGTCTTTTACTTCCTTCCTTCCACATATTGATCGACAAACAGAGAAAGGAAATATTGGAAACTGTCGATGTCTGAGTCACCAGTGAGACCTCATTATTTGGGTGGATGAACAACTAGGCTTAAAGTTGACTGATAGTTGGCCAGTTAAGCCACATGAACTTTTGGACTATAGACAGGAATATTTGGATCACATATTTTCTAGCAGTGGGTTTAATTATTATTGTAATTTTGAAGTAGTGATGAGTATACATGATATTTCAAGATGCCTGTAATAATAATATGAAAATGGCTGTGATTTCTATTTGAGACAAAGCTACTGATATTGGTCTGTTATCAATATACATAATTCAAGGAAATGATAATTTACAGATAACATTTGATTTTTCCCCATCCAATTTCACAGACCTTCTAAATCTAAGGAATCTGTTGCTCTCAGGTTTACAACCTCTTCTGCGAGTTGTAAACAATAAGATAAGACTTTAACCGCTTGCTTTTTTCCTTCTTTTGAATCACAGGTACTTAAGTAACATGAAAAGAAAAAGGAAAATAAATCCCAAGTATATTTACAGATTATCTTATTTCTGATAAACATGTTAACGTGAAAAGAAAAAGGAAAATAAATCCCAAGTATATTTGTAGATTATCTTCTTTCTGATGAACGTGTATCTTTAAGAAGAAAATAATTTTTAAGTAGAGAGCTATTACTGTAGGATGTAGAAATGGTAGAGTCTAGTTATTTTTACCTTTGATTGCTTAGTAACTTTGAATGAGTTATTGTTTTTTATTTAATGAAGGCAAGAATCTCAGTCATTAACTGAAATTGCCAAAAAGGGTGGCAAAATACAGATTCTTCTCTTATTACATTTGAGTAGAAGTGTCCAAGAAGTGTAGAGTACAGGGAATTAGATATAAATGTAGTAATTAACACTGCTACTTTCGTCTATCTCCTTATCTTGGATGAAGTGGAAGATGTACTTTATTTAATATACATTTATTGAATGTATGATGTGTTAGAGACTATAGAATGGAGTGTTGTAGTCACTGTCTTTGAATTTACCATAGAAATGGAAATGACTAATATTAGAGATTATTGCATATCATAATTATTCTCTCTTTCTCTTAGTATCTGTCTTATTTATCAGAGATCTGAAATATGATTGATTGACATTTTCTGAGTAATCCTCAAGGATCTGAAGGATAGGGGAAAGGAAAAACTGGAAGAATATTTTTAGAGGAAGCCTGGAAATTTAAGGGCCTCTCTTTTTCCTGGTTTGTTTGAGGAATGATTGAGTTTTCTTCACTGAGACCTGACCTACAATCTTGGCTTTATTTTAGAGAAAAATCCAGGTTTTTGGTATAATACATTATTGATTTCCCCCATATCCCCTCCCCAATAAAAATGAGTTTTCCTCAGAAATGAAATTGATCCTTAAGTGCTTTTTTTAAATTTTAGCTATCTTGAATGTAAATGTTAAAAATGAATTATGTATTTTATTTCTTCATATGACATATACAACATACACAAAAGAAAGCATCTTTTCACAGAGCTGTTGTGCAAAATCACATACAAAAAATGTTTTATAAAGTATGATAAAATGATATTACTGCTGTTTCTTAATAGGCTACTTGGCAGATTAACTTTCAAAAAAAATTTGAATGTCAAATAGTAATAGAATTTTTAAAACTAAATGTTTGTAGAACTTTAGGTAAGTTATTTTAACCCTCAATTATTATTCAGATTTCAAGTTTTTATAAGGAAAACTCTCAAACTTTTATGTTTATATTCTATAAATTCATTTCTTCTACTAATTTTGAAGTTAAAAACAATGTAATCACATTTCTTGCTGTCTGCGTTGGCTATTCAGTCCTTAAATATTGGTTTATAATGTGTTTTATACTTTTTAATGAAGGGCATTGCACCATTTATCTCGCCTGAGAGACCTGGTTGATGATACCAGTGGGAAACAGTCACCGAAAATATGAAGAGGAAAATATAACTGCCTAACCAATAAATAGTCACCACAAAACAAAAACGTTTTTTATTCTATTACTTAAACTGACAAAGTAATTATAAGCCATATATTATTCTGTAACTGGTACAAGTATTATGTATTTCTAAACAAACAAACTTGAGCGTGTTCACAGGTTTTGTGACCTATCCTCATTTTGTGCCAAAATACAAGAATCTGAACTGAGAGGACCCACAGAGATGTGAAAGCCTGACTTTGGACTTCACGCCCACAGATGCCTAATATTCAAAGGTGAATGATTTCCATTCTTGAAGGTTTACATGGACTTAACCTTCTTCAGTGTCCTCATTATTTTATTATCTGATTCTGGATAATTAAAAAACTCTTCCAGGTTTCTATCTAAAGTGTCTTAAGTTAAATAGACTTTTTGATATGCGTAGCATCTCCATTTAAGGAGCTTAAAGGAATATGAAAATTGTTGTGATGTATCTTACTCATATAGAAGTCTTTTAAGTTTTTGTAAATCAAATACTTAAGGTATGTTCTGTTTGCAAATGACATCAATTTAATAGGGGTGATGCAGTGCTAAAAGGAATATTCTTTTATGTTGTGATACTCAAGAGAACCTCATTTAATTAATGCTTTGATTATATGTAAGATAATCTTGATAATATTTGACGGTATACAAAATATTTTGGGATATTTGAAAATGTAATATTTTGATATTAGATTATTTCCCAGATTTTAGTTTTGGTATTAACTCAGACTAGTAATAACTATAAGATAAATAGCCAGTTGCTTTATGAAATTTCATAAGTAAACTTAAAGAAAATGGATATGGCAAATCAGAGAGCAAATCGCTGTTGTAAAGTTATTTGGTAAGAGCTGAGCTTTCTTTAAAGCAGTCAGTCCTGCTCAGAATTAGTCTCTAGCTGGAACTGAACAGAGCTTTGTAATTTTGCAATTTCTACCAAGTGAACTTCTAATAAGCAGGAAGCATCTTTATCAGTAAAACCAAGAATTAAACCATAAAGCTTAACTAATGTTGCATGTTAAAAAAGCCTAATGAAATTAAACAGTATATATGTATACAAATACTACAAATTAACTCTTTACCCAGCTGACAGCATTTTTGCTAAGTAAATTTACTGTCAAGTAGACCAGAATTTCTAAGTACATTGGGTCAAATAATTTCTTTTGTCTAAATTGCTCAGGCACTGTTTAATACCTTTGTTATAGTACTGACATGTCAAAGATTGTAGTTAGCCCTGTCTTTTTAAAAATTTTTTTCTTGACCAGTCAGTTAATGTCACCATACTACTCTTTGCCCAGTTTGAAAGACATTTGCCAAGAGCTTTGTTTTGTTTACTCTGTGGAGGTCTTTCTGCCACTGACATTCTGTTTCCTGATTGTGGTCTTCTGCTTCACAGCAAATAGTTTGGATAATCAAATATGGAATTACCTTAATGGTTAAAGTATGGCTGGATGTTAAAATACAGGTTTTAACTGGGTAAGCATTAGGTGGATCTGGCTCATGTTCCAGGCGAGTGAAAGCATCCATTAGACAAATTCTAAAGAAAGCACAGAAGTTAAAGACATCGGGAATAAACTTTCAATTGTGTATTAAATATATGTCGATACATGTAATATTAGTCCTGGTGGTACAGTGGTCAAAAGTGCCCAGCTACTACTGTAAGGTCAGCAGTTTGAACCCCACATCCGCTCCGAGGGAGAAATATGTGGCAATTGATTCCGTAAAGGTTACAGCCTTGGCAGCCCTATAAGGCAGTTCTACTCTGTCCTGTAGGGTCGCTATGAGTTGGACTTGACTTAACGGCAATGGGTTTTCTTTTTTTTAATGCCTAGAAAGCATCTCCAAAGGGATTATACTATAATGACTGAATAGCACTTTGAATAGTAGTTGGTGCTCTCATTTCCAAGAACGTATCTCCAATATTAAATAAGATTAGCCTGTTCTAAAACTTTGTTATAACTAATGCTTTAAGAAACTTGATTATACTTACCAAAGGATCATTAATTTTTCCTTTTGTGTTAAATCGGAAAGGTGTAATCTTTTACCCAAAAATGAAATTAATTTTATCAAAATGATTAATTCCAAATTTAGTTTTCAAAGAAATATATAGAAGGGAAGAAAGAGTCAACTAAGAAAGTAGAACATCTAAATGATAAATGCTCAAGAAATTCTCTAAAGAATTGATTTAATTATATATTAACTGATATTTCAGAGTTTTTTGTTTGTTTTTTTTGAGGTTTCCAGGGGAAAAAAGGGGACAACAGTTGGGAATATGAACTAAAGCAGATAATGAGAGCAAATAGATTTTTTAAATAGCATTGTGAACAGAATGTATCAACCCTTTGCTCTCATTCTTTTAGGTTTATTGATAAATATTAAATAGAAAAAAATGAAGAAATTTTAATAAGATTTTTCAAATTTTTATTGAGTGTGAAAAAAGATGCAACAAAAAAGCCAAATTCTAAAAATTATCTGAGATGAAGCGATAAATGTATCCCTGATATGTGAAGATTCAAGACCCAGATGTATTGTCTTTGTTATTAGTAAGAACTCTACTTTCAGTTTTTTCAGTGACAATTCATTTCAGCTTTACAGAGATTTCTGACTAAATTGAGGAACTCTGCTCGTGTTTGTTTTGGGCTATATGTCTTTCTAGTTGTGCTATTTCTCGTAGAATTTATAAATGTGTTTTTTTTGTTGTTGTTATTTTGTATTTAATGGTTTCTGATAATGTCTTTTTAAAATATACTATATAGTTATACCAAAATATTGCTTGAAGGTAAATCATGACAAGGTTCTTTCTTTCTTCCTCCGTTCTAAATATATGAGATCATGCTTATGGATTTGAATTTTGTTTCATTTTCCTTGTCCCACCCTTCCCTGTCTATATTTCAAAACCCATTTGGTGGAAGTGCTATCAAGAAGTGAACTTGCGAAAAGGCAAGTAGCATGAGAGGAGACAAAAGAAGCAAAAGGCCACTAAAATCGATAATCAATTTCTGACCAACTAAAGTTCCTTCAAATGTGAAAGACTGTGTATCCCTCTATTCCATGTACAGATTGCATGTTTCATATATGATTATATGCTGTGTTGGGTTGCAGTGCCTGCTATATAATGATTGTGGTAAACCTAGGCCTAAACCTGAACACATTGTTCAGTAGGTTATATTGTTAGATATTTTTCCTGTAATGTTTGAAATTATTCCTTTCCCACTTCCCATCTGCTTCTTTTCTTTCCTTCTTTACATTCGTTACGAAGATCATTTTCCTTTTTTTGGACAAACAGGAAAAAAAAAAAAAACCCAAAACTTAGCATTTTACACTCCCTGTTTATTCTGCATTGACCTAACCCTAGACCAGACCTTTCTGCTCTCACAAATGCAACAACTTATATCCACTCCATACTAGGACTAGTCCAATTGCTTCCTAATACCTATTTCAACCTAAAATATTCCTCCCTTTTCTGAGTTCTTTCCACTGAAGCCAGACTGACTGGTCTTCGCAAGACACTGTTATATACCACTGCTCTAGTCTTATTGATTTATTTCAGCAAATTCACTTTAGCTAAATGACTTTACTCAGATTATCCTAAACTTTCTACGTATATTTTCACCTTTATGTATATCATTTTTCACACTTGAAATACTCAATTTTTATTCTTTTTGCTTATTTAAAGCTTACTCTGCTGTTTCTCTAAAGCTCTGGCCAAGTCTTACATTGCCTTTTCTAAACAGTGTAACTCTCTTCTAAACACTGGTAGGTTGGCTTCCCCCCTTTTCTTCCATTATTCATTTAGCTTTATCTTGTATTTCTGGTTTTATTTTGTACCTAGTGCCTCTTATACCACAGTGTATCCCAGGGGGAAATCCATTTTGTCTCAAAAAATGTTGGATGACTGATTCTAATTTGTTTTATCTCCTTTATGATAACACCTTTTACATTACATTGTATAACCAAGAAAAAGTAAACTGTGTTTTGAATAGTGTTGATTGATGATACTAAACCTGGCTCCTGGTATAAGGTTGTAACGTCAAGATAAAAGAGACCGCATCCCATAGTGATATGATGTTCTGCAAATGCTTTTTAAAACAGGGTAAATTAAAACTATTTTGGAGAGTTCTTTCTTTTTTTTTTTTTGTTGCTGATGTTCATCAAATAGGATCAAAAATTGTTAAATATTTTGGATGATTTAACTGTAAGCCTCTTTTTTTATTATTTTTTTATTTTTATTGTACTTCAGGTGAAGGCTTACAGAACAAATAGTTTCTCATGAAACAGTAGTACACATATTGTTTTATGACTTTGGTTAACAACCC